GGAATATCATTTACTAGAATGGAAAAGAAATGGAATACTTAAGAAATGATTGACAAATTGGTTGGAAAGTTGAGCTAAAGAGCCCTCTGGCATCTTTCCCATCTCTGTAACTTCAAGTGGTTTATATATGCTATTTCTCTGAATTTTCTATTATACTTATGTACACATGCACATCGGTTTAGGGAGTGTCAGTAGTAAAATGAAATTTCCTATTTGTTGCAGGCTGGTGAGAAGAGGAAAGGGAGGAAAAAGGGTCTATTTTTCAAATAGATGTTTCTACAAAGCCATAAATGCATGTATTTTTTGCCCCCCTTTTTCATTCTGTACATGTGTGCCTGCTGGTGAGTTTGCTGATAAATGCATCTGTTGTAAACTCTCCCTATTTTATCAAGCGAGCTGTTTTTTTTTTTTTTTTTCTCAACTAAATGCCTTGTGGACTGTATGCTTAAAATAGTATGAAAATATTCAGTATGCTGTGATGCACATTAGTTCGAGACTTTGATCAACCTGTATTAAACCCGGTACAAGAGATATGGGTTCATGCTTATGACTGTCAAATAATTTCATCAAACTTCTTGTTGGATCCAGCATGATAATTATTATACAGGAGAATTTGTTTGGTTTCAAATGCGTCATGGAGGTCGGATATGACTTCAAACAGTTGATTTGAAGAGCTGATGATTAGATTGGTGTCTCAGAGCTAGTGCTCCCCATGTATTAGTATGATTTTGAACATTGTTTGAAATGATGATTATTATACCTATTTCGTTGCGTAATATTTTCATAATTTGTTATAATGATGATTGCTTTATGATGGGAATTAACAATACTTTTGCATTTTATCGACATTAATCAAATAATATACTTTTTCTTTTGAATTAAGAATAATGAAAATGAATAAAGAAATTTCTGATTTCATTTGTTTGTTGGCGAATGCGGTAAACTAACACGTGCATATATATATATATATGTTATGAATGCCCAAAAAGGAGTTGACTCGACCAACGACGGCTGTTATTTATTTTAATGCGGGGCACACTTTCCGTCACGAAGGTGAACATTTTATTTCACGAAATTTGGAAAAAAAAAAAACTTCAACTAGATTTTGTAAGTTGTATTTTGTTTCCGGCAGTATTTCCAAATGCTTAATTAACTCGCAGGGCATGACGGTATTCTCGTAATTTTAACTCCCATTCATTAAAATAAAATAAATATAACAGGCAGCAATAATAATAATAATAATAATAATACGAAAGAGGAAGATTTGACCGTTGCGCAACGTTCCAAATCCCGAACGCTCCTTCCCTTTTCACGTCCGTTTGATTGCAGGGTAACGTACCCGTGTCGGAGCTGGAAATAAGCCGTGGGATCCACAAGGCTGGCCATCGCTGCTTCTCCGTGTAAGTGCACCCCTGTGGAATGCGGAGGCTTAAAGAAGTAAACTTTTGATGCTTCAGTCGACTTCTTTGACCGTTGGGAGCGACAACAATAATAATAATAATAATAATAATAATAATAATAATGTGATGATTTGTAAGTTCACGCTGCTGCGTTCCTGCCTTCAACGCTTTGTCGCCGCCGCGCTCTCTCCCCTGCCGTCCCACCTCCTCTTCCCCATACCGATTCTCCTGCTCTCCCCGAATCTGCAGCTGCAGCTGCAGCGCAGTGATCGATCATTCGGCGTTGGTTTTTCCTGAAAGAGCATCTCTCGTCCATCCCACAGCATTCGCTGTCAAGATAAAGCCGTCACCTCGGGACTCCCTGCCTGCGTCTTTCTTTGGGGGTTTGGATTCTCACAATTCAGCTTGGTTTCAAGTGATTGATCTCTCCCACTCTGTCTTTCTTTATGAATGAACCCATAGATTTGTGGACATCTTGAATGGTCTTTTTTTGTTTTTCAGCTTTTTATTTATTTGTTTATTGTGATGGTTGCTAGACTTGTGTTTTTAATGGCATGTGATGGAGGAATCTCTGAATAAATTGTTTGTTTTCTTTTCTTTATTTCTTAATTTTCTTTATAATTGTTTCTATCTTACTCTCTTGTTCTGGCCGTGCTGGTTGAGCAGATCGATTGTCGTTGGTTCTTATTCCTATTTCGGTAACAGAGAAGGATTATTATACATTTTTTTGGTGCGCCATATTATTCCTTCTTTATTCTCAATGTTCAAAAATGGTCCGATCGACTTTCTTCGTGTATTACATTTCACTGACGATCCATGGCATTCAGCTACCATAATTTTCTCTTCTTGTGTTGCTCCACACATCTTGAATGCATCCACTGTAGGAATGGAGAGCGTCACCTGCAACATCGATTGATTTACTTGACGTCTTTGTTTGTTTCAGCCGCACGGTGCTTGTGTTCTCCACCTTCTTCACATCATGGCAGCACTCGCGCCCGGTGTTCTGATGAAGCTTCTCAATGGGATGAACACGGGAAGCCAGAAGCCTGTGGGCGAGCACCGGACCGCACTCTTGCAGGTTACCGACATCGTCCCCGCCGACCTCGACGAGAAGGACCTCTGGCCCAAGCACGGCTTCTACATCAAGCTCTCCGACTCGTCCAACTCCATCTACGCCAGCCTGCCGTTCGACCAAGACGACCTTGTTCTGAGCAACAAGCTACAGCTCGGCCAGTTCATCCACGTCGATCGGCTGGAGCCGGGGTCCCCCGTTCCCGTGCTCGTTGGCGCCAAGCCGCTGCCCGGCCGACACCCCCTCATGGGCACGCCGGAACCCATCGTTCGTTGCAGAGGAAGCGGCGAGAAATCATCGGCCAGGCACGCCACTGCTTCTTCCGTTCCCAGAAGAGGTTCCTGGGAGCAGAACCCCGTCATAAAGCCGACGGCCTTGGACTTCGAGGACAAAACGCCGGGGAAGGGCCGGACGCATGGTGGTGTTTTGTCGCCACCACCAAGTGGAACACCAGGCAAGGAAGGAAGCTCCGGCATCAATACGAGATCGTCGGTGAGCGGGGCTCTTCTGTCTAAGATGTCGGACGCCAAGGAAGCAAGCTCAGCTGCGGTAAGGAAAAGCTGCAGCATCTCCAGATTCTCAAGGAGCAAGACCGTCGCCGAGCGAGATCCTAAGATCCCAAAGAGTCCCTTCCCAAGTGTGGTAAGCTCCCCTAAGAAAACTTGCTATTCTTCGTGAGGCCGCTGAAAGCAGCGTCTGCTAATCTCTGATACAGGTTAAGGACGTAACTCACACACCCATGACCAAATTGAGAAGTGCTGCCAGAGATGCCGAGGACTCTCGTTGGGCATCATCTGATGAACAAAGCAGTTCAACTACGATCGACAACACGCATTACCATCTATCTGAAGAATGTGACACCGCAAAGCAAAGTTCCAGCGAAGGCATGTCCTTGCCCGGAAGGCTCAGCGTTCTCGGAAAGGTGCAATCCTTTACGTTGTACCAACTTGCTTGGTGGGTTTGTAACTGTGCTTATACGTACTCCCGTTGTCTTGCAGGAGGCTCTGGAGCATAGAGAAGCAGCTCAGAAGGCAGCTCTTCAGGCCCTCCGTGATGCTTCTGCCACCGAATCTGTAGTTCGGGTCGTCAGGTGAGACTGTAACACTACTACCCCTCCCGACATCCGGGACTACATACTCGCAATTGGATCTTGAAGGTTTAGATATGGTTCCGTGAATTTGTTGCAGAACGTTTTCGGAATTGAGCAGTAGTGCGAAGCCCGAAGCACCAGCCGCTTGCTTCGATCAGTTTCTGAGCTTTCACCAAGAGATCGTGCAGGCAGTGGCTGATATAGAAGCGATTCAAGCAGCTACTTTAATCACTCCACCACCCCAGGAGGAATCGACAAAGAACCAAATCGACAAGGATGACGCATCCATTTTGCGAGAGAGAGATCACAACTCAAACAACTCGACTGCAACCTCAACCAAGAGAAGAGCGGTAGCAGCATCCAAATCCGTTGGTGAGACAAACGAGTTCAGAGCAAGCCTCCGCAAGCACCCAAGATCAAACGCAAACCATAAGAAAGGACAGGACGACACTGGTGCCGAAGAGGTCAAAGCACCAACTTCCAGTTTAGGGAGCTCAATCAAATTGGCGAAACAGATACGAGGTGAAGCGGGAAAATGGTTCATGGAGTTTTTGGAGACAGCGTTGGAGTCAGGTCTGAAGAAAGTTAAAGGATCAATGGGTGGTGGTGATGGGTTGATGGCAGTAGTATCCTGCCCGCAGTCACTGATCTTGAGGGTCATAAACTGGGTAGAGTTGGAGCAATGCGAAAGCAGCAGCAAGAAGCCCCTCCATCCAAGAGCAGCACAAATAGCAAGAAGGCTAAGGATCAAGGCAAAGAACCCTTGAATCTAACTAGTATGATGGTTGGAGAAATGTGAAAGCGGCAGCAAGAAGGAGGCTAAGGATCAAGGCAAAGAACATTTGAATCTAGTATGGTTGGGGACATCACTCGATTGTTCTGTTCTAGTACTGGTCGTGTTCTTAACTCATCTACTAAACAATCTTGTATTTTCGTTTCATTTGGCGTTGTAAATAATTTAATTTAATTTCATGAAATATTTAAATATTTTATAAGGTTTTCTGGTCTTATTCATTTATTTTATAATGTAACTTTTTAAAATATAAAGATCGAAACGTTAAAAAGTAATTAACTATAGAGAATAATATTCGTACTCTAATTAACTATAGAGAACAATCTTGTATTTTCGTTTCATTTGACGTTGTAAATAATTTAATTTAATTTCATGAAATATTTAAATATTTTATAAGGTTTTCTCGTCTTATTCATTTATTTTATAATGTAACTTTTTAAAATATAAAGATCAAAACGTTAAAAAGTAATTAATTATAGAGAATAATATTCGTACTCTAATTCACCATCGATTCCTTGATTTTTATTTATGTAAACCCACCCAAAATGTCAACACATTTAACTTATCTTTGGATTAAATTTAAAAACACAGACGTTATCATAAAAGATCAAAGAAATCCACCTTACGATATCTGAGCAGCCCTATGATCGGTTCATTGCTGTAAACTGCCCTCTCGAATCTCCAGCGCAATTATAATTTTCATTACGTCTTATTTTTATTTTAGCTGTTGCTGTCGAGATTACGTCTTCCTTCGGACAACCAAGTATTAATAATAAAGAGCAGTATCCAATATAAAATGCCGTGCGACCCTCTCCAAGTGACTTCAGTGGCAAGCCAAGCCTTCTTCTGCCTAGCCAAGTTTTGTTGCTTCTTTCATCTTCACCCCCATTCTTTTAAGCAATGTCTTCTCGTCGAGTCTCTACTGTTTCGCTCTCTCTCTCTCTCTCTCTCTCTCTCTCTCTCTCTCTCTCTCTCTCTCCAAAGCAGAATACAATGTCGGGTTCCATGGAGGACTGCGGCATGTTTGCCGTCGACTGCGTCGTGGTATGTTGTTGCTGCCCTTGTTTTCTCCTCCAGATCACAGTTTTTCTCTTTATCAGATTGCCACACAAATTGGCTGTGAAATCAAAGAGAATTGTGCTGAGAAAACTGCAGAAAAGATCGAAGAAGGATGACAGGACCAACGAGACGGTGTTGGATGCCGAAAAAGCTAAATTTGGAGCTCCGTGTTGCGACTTCCGTCCTTGTGACAGGAGCTCCTCATGTTTGGAAGCTGAGAAGGTGCTGAAGGAGCTGATGAAGGGTGAAGGGAACTCCTGGATGGAAGCTGAGATGGTGTGGGAGGAGTTAATAGCTCGAGAAGGGCTGTTTTGGTTTGGCAGCTTCTGGGGAATCGCGGATTGACGTAGGACTTCTTACAGGCGTAGTTGGATTTAGATGCTTGATGTACATAAAAGTAAACTAAAAAGGAAAAAGAGAGCAAAAGAAAGCATCTCATTGAAATACAAAAGAGATCCATTTCTTCTAACATAAACCACGAGTTTGCTCTGTTGCGATGGATTATTTTGTTTAAACGGATGGCTGCCGAAATGTGCATTGTAACAGTGTTTTACCATTTCATCTATGCTTTGCAGCCTTCTCGCTCTCTTTTTATTATTTCTGGAAAAAAAGCTATGACTTTTGTGAGAAATTCACCGGGAGCACTCCTGTTTATGTTTGTGAACTGTTTAGAGTTTTAAATGATAAAAACAAGAAAACTAATTTATTCTTACTATTGATTTTTTATCAGATGACACTCTTCCCTCTATTTGTTTTTATCCGATGATATCCATTCTTTTCATAAATACTAATTTTATTATCATTTTTAAAGTATTTTGAATGGATTTAAGCCAACGAATCGGTTCAGATCAAACCTCCTCCTAAGAAATTTTATTTTAATATGAACTTCTTTTATATTGATCAATAACCATAATCAGAATCCAATAATACCTATAATATATCTTACATAATTAAATAGGGCCACATAATCTAAAATTCTTCCACTTGGGCCAATAATTAGTAAGATATAAAAAAAGACTTAAAATTAAAATTAATTAAATAAAATTTATTTAAAAATAATTTGATCCAATTGAATTCTAAAATTTTAGAAAAACTATATACACACGTGCGAATTTTAAAAATAGGCCAATAAGTCCAAAAATTATAATAATACTACATTAAGTCGCACTAACAATATAAGTCATAGCGATTGTATGTCATCAATGCTATATTTTCTTCTATATACCACAATAATGTTAGCCTTTCCTAATGTAGTCCAAAATGACCCATATAATTTGTCTTGTCAAGACAATCTTATCATCACTTCAACCATAATATGTATATATATAGTTGTGAACAAGATAGCAGAAACAAATAACTTTAAGTATGTAAGCAAGAATGTTAATTACAATATCCACTCAAACATGCATCATCATATCCTTTATGGGTTGCTCACAAACTCAATCATAAGAATATGTTCTTTCAAAATACTTTAGGCTATAAGTTCTAATTGAATAGATCAACAATCAATATAGTAGAACTCAGGTAATTAATTAACATTGGATGTTTCTGGACTCCTCTTATCTAACCATCAGGTACTTTATACCATAATGCATAAAGATGCAATAGTACTTGTCATTCTTAAAGAAAAAACTAATGCGGTGTCACAAAATATCTTCAACGATTTGGCAATTGAGTCTGACCATACCAAGTCTAGAGATAAAATTTCGTAGTTAAAAAGTTTGATCAGTGGCCCCAAAGCATGTCACAAAATCAACTTCTATTATTAATAATAATAAATTTACCCTCTAATTGATATAGATATTAATTGTAAGGTGGATTTCCTATTATCGAGGTAATTTATACAATCAACATATGAAAAATATCATTATTTCAAAATAATATAATTTCATACATGTGAGCATATAATCTTTTGTCCCTTCTAGATATCTTATTACTTTCTTTGTAGTTCTTTAGTATTTTTACTTCTGGGTAACTCCAATATATACCTAGTATTTTAATTATAAAACTGATATCTATTCTGACACAAGCTTGAGCATAGACTTCTAACTGTGCATATACTAAGAATATTTTTTTTATCTATTTCTTTTCAAGTTATTTTAAAGCATTTACTATTGACTAAAATTTTACTTTTATGATTTACTGAACAAAGTTGTATATTAAATCTTTTCAACACTCGATTGATATATCCTTTCTAAGATAGTGTTCATAATCATTGAAGTCTATCCTTTAATTACTCAATGTTAATAATATAAGATGCCTTATTTATATCAACCATCTTAAAACTCTTAATGATAAATTTCTTGATTTAATATAATAAATCAATATCACTATTGGTAAGACAACATATTATCCATATATAAGATCAATATAATAAATTTGCTCCCACTGATATATTTACTGATCAATAGTATTTTTCTTAAATCTGAAAATAATGATATCAAGAACTTTTATATATTATTATCTCGAAACTTGTTTAAGGTCATAAATGGATTCGTGAATTTATATACCAAACTTTATATTTCTTTTATTTTATTTATAAATTATTTAAAGTAACCTATATAAAGCTAGATCTTTAAAAAATATTTTTATATCATTATGATATAACTCAAACTCATAATGAGCTTCTTAACGAGTTCATTAAAAAAATTAAATATCTCATTATAGTCGATACATTCTTTATGAGTAAAACTTTTAATCACAAGTCTAACCATTATATTGTTCGATATTGTCCTTTGAGTCACATTTATATAATAGATTTTTTTATAATTATTAGATAATTTGATAAATTTATCATATGTCATTCTGGTTATTAATTTTAACTCTTCTTTTATTGCATCGTATTACTTTTTGCAGAATCATTACTTTTATGACTTGTGAAAATAATAATAGATCAATTTTAATTCATATATCATAATATAATTCTTATAGACATGTCACATAATAACCATAAATGATAGAATCCCTTTCCCTTTCAAATATTTCCAAGGTTGTCAATTATGATTGTTCTACAAAATCATTAATAGCGATATCAATATAATATAAGAGTTTAATAATATTATTTTATTATTCACTTTTATCAAATCATTTAATGATTTGAGTAACAACAGTCTCTCGAATAATAAATGAGTATTAACTTATATCTCTTTCATATCAAAATTGAATTTTGAGATTTTCTTTTTTATTGATTTGCTATTTTATAGGAATCTTACATTACCAGATTTAATTGTTCTCGTACTATGATTATATACCATTTTAAACTTTTCTGAATAGATAATAAAATATTTAAAAATATTTATTAATTCTAATTTTCTTTTATGTTAGTTGAAAATCATTATCTCCATGGGACAGTCTCAAATATGTAAATATCTTAAATTAGGTTTCCTATCATTTCATAACTTAAAAAAAGTCATGTAATTTACTTACTAGGAACACAATTCAAAGTACATATAGTTGTCATTGGAGTTTCTTCTCACATTGATTTGAGTACAAAAGAATAACCTATCATACTCCTAACCATATCTATAAAGATACGATTATATATTTCAACAATCATTTTCTACTATAATACATCTGGTAAATCATATACCTTATTTTTTCAAGAATCTAGCAAAAGAATTATAATTATAATTAGATTCATTATAAATACCATAAAATTCATTAACCTTATTAGATATGATGATCTATCTAATTATCTATTAACTTCATTTATTTACACTTCAAGAGTGTCAATGGTCATAAGTTTTACATAAATTAGATATATATAATCATATCTCAACAAGTTATTTATATGATGATAAAATGTCTCTCGTTAATGAGACGAAGGAATAGAGTGACCCACAGATATAAGCATAATCTCAAAGAGTTTATAAAACTATATTTTATTTTAATATTTAATTATAGAATTATTGTAAACTTAATATTCATATTAATTCTATATAAACTATTATACAGAATTCGAAGATTAATTTTTATTAAATTACAATAAGTTTACAACCACCAAAAAGGAAATGATATTCTAATAATTCTAGGTAAAGAATCCAAATTCCCAGAATTATAAGAATACAACATGGATCCTCAAGATCTATCAATTGAATCATCTTTAGATGTAGACAATAAATACAAACTAATATCGCTTTCACTTTAAGATGATTTCCTATAATGATAACTATCTTATTCTCTTTTGGTTTTATCTCCCTTCATTCTTTTTTTTAATGAATATATATTATTGATAACATATGTTGAAGCATCAAATTAATTAAAAAAATAATTTATATAATATTTGATTTGAACTATATAAAGGTTATATTTATACCTTTTCATTTCAAATCAAATCTTATAATTTTTTTTATATAACTTTGTAATACTTTATTATAAAGATATTCTTTTATGAGTTTATATAGTAATTATAAACTTACGCTTCATTCTTATTTTAGTGTTACATATTTCCTGAGTAGTATGCAAAATATTATGAGTCTTGAGCTTACAACTTATCATTTATACTGAGGATATAATCTTGAATTCCTCAAATACTATCATTTTAAGGTGTCAACTAATGACTTATCAGAAAATTTAAATTGATCATTCGATATTCTTATACGCTAGTTGTAAACTGTACTGAAGTATAAGTATCATAAAATTGAGTCTTTCATACCTTTCCTGATCAATCACCTCGATTATTTATTCCATAGAACTTTCAGTAATTAAGTTTGTGTTCTGTTTAATTAATCTGATCAAGGTCTCACTCACTCAATAAAATTAACATATTGCATATGCTCAATCCATTTATTTCAAAAAGTATAGGGACATTTACAAAAATTCAACGAAGGAAGTACCACTATAATAATAAATGGAGGATAAGATTCGGACGCTCTTTACCGAATTCAGATTGAGCCGACCACTAAGCCCGAAGAAATCACATCAAGGAGAGAGCTTTGTCCAATCGCACTAAGCCCAAAGAGATGACTTCTAAGGGAGGGGAGGCTTTATGACCGACCCCAACTATCCTCGCATGAGGGTGGACTTTCCTAGATGGGAAGAAGGAGACCCGATTGGTTGGATCTCGCGCGCGGAGCGATATTTTCGGTACCACAAAACTACAGACATATTTATAGTGAAAATTATGGCTATACATCTTGAAGGGGATGCCATATAATGGTTTGATTGGTTTGAACACACTTATGGAATCCTCTCATGGTGACAATTTAAAGAAGGACTGCTGATCCGCTTCGGACCAACCGATTATAAGAACATTGATAGACAACTAGCAAAGATCCGACAAACCTCTATCATTCAGGAGTACCAAACTATGTTTGAAATGTTATCTAATCAAACTCATGATTGATCTCAAAAATAGCTATTGGGGACCTTCATTAAGGGCTTGAAGCTGGAGATCCAGGGAGAAGTTAAAGCACGACAACCATACACGCTTATGGCAACCATATGTTTCGCACGACATCAAGAGGAGTGATTGAACCTTGAAACTTAGAGGACTAGGGTTACTCCTCGACCAGCAATACTAAAGCCCTC